CGGAGTACCCCCTCCGTCAGTCGGCAGTCCAGGGCACTGTGTATCTGAGTGGATCGCAACGCGATTTTGCGAATCCCACTCCACCACATCATCACGACGAAAGACTTGGAAGAGGATAGGTTGGAGGAAAGAACGCCGCGTTGGATGAGAGACGATTTCAACACAGCCAAGATGGTTATGTGGATCAAGAACGGCAAAGCATTGGTAAAACACACTGTAGTTTGAATAATGTAATATATATATACTAGTAATTGACAAGACCCACATTTTCTTAAATAATGGAGCTTTTGGATGGAACTGAAAAGCGCTTTTTCGGGGTGGAGCTGATGCCAGAATGACCGTCTTCGAGTCTGAGGTTCGGCTGCCCAATTATTGCCGGCAAGTAACGACCACTACCAACCGAAGCCGACAAGTCATCACTCTTTCGCGCTTTTACTCCACCGGGTTTAAGTCCCTCCATTTCCTGAACAGTATAACCACCCCCCATGCCGCAAACGGTTGTCCTTCTGTATCCGTCCGACATCCCGGACCTGGGACTTGATTTTCCCCGCTACGGAATCGTGTCATCACGGGGAAGAGCGATGAAAACGGTTCGAGGCCTGCCACGCGCTGACGACGGCGAAGAAGTCACCACCTCCGTTGCACCAGCGACCGTTACGTCCCGCCAAGTCCCCGCAGACGAACTCACAAATGAACGGCCAGGACTGGCCTTGTTTCGACCAGGCACTGTCATCAGCAACGATACAACGCACCACGGACAAGTTACAGCGTACAATAATGGCGTCTACGAGTTCCTTACTTCCTCCGGACCACTCGAAGTGCCATATGACGAGTTCCAAGAAGTAGCCCCAGCTATCGCGATTTTTATTGTGGCAAGCCGTCCTTCTGCCGGCAATCGACTCGCCATCTGACCTCGATAGAGTGCATAACCTGATACTCGACCGGTTGCTAGGCCAAAACAGGCAACGAGCCACTAAAGCTGTTTTAAAGCTATTAGCGGGTGTCGTGTCTCGCACCTCGATGCCACGGACAGATGACCAGATGCCCTGGAAGTGTCCGCGATCCGGGATCGACAAACAACTCGAGGTAGGTCAAGTGGTGGAGTTCGCCTTCTACAAGGATGGTAATCGCGCGGCGCCAGCAAGTGTTAATCTAGGAGAGACCTATTTCGATATTCCTGAGCCACGACGGTCCCAGCGCCGGATGGACTCAAGGTCTACCGTTCCTGCACGCCCCAGTTCACCGGCGCTTCGTAGTGCAAGACCATTTGAGCGCAGGATGGCTTCTCCCGACCGTCTGCGCGACCGACTTCACGAATCTGCAAGGTCCTCTCAGCCGACAACTACCTCACGTTTACCTGACAATGTTGACGAGGAAGATGTCTTCGGTAGTGAGCCAGCTACTCGGTTTACTGACCTGTTAGCGGCATTGGCGAGCGACGAACCCCCCCAAGTAAAGGAACAAGGAACCCCCCCCCCCCCCCCCCCCCCCCAAACAAAACATCGTCGAATCACGCCCCCTGTAACCACACATGGATCAGAACCGGGTAACACGGGAGCGGCGGCGCCTGATACGTTTGCAGGCCGTCCTCAACCCACGGAGGGCGTTCCTTCCATTCATCACACGACTACAACGAACGCGATTCTAGCTGTGCTGGCCCCGCATCCACACTTACTGATAGAGTACGTGCAGCAGTTGAAGCAACTGCGGACAGCAACTACATCCTCAACAGCTTCGCCGGCGGTCTTACCCGCGCCAACAACCCCCCCCCCCCTACCCACAACGGTCGTTGGTAAGTGCATCGGATCTGGTATCTACAACCGACGCGGTAGACAGAAGCTCCCATCGTTTTCGACCATCGCGGATTCAGCAAGAAGTTCATCGGACAGTCTCAGCGCCAGCATATTCAGGTAAGAGTACAGAGGATTTTACGGACCATGTGCGCACCAAGGAAGCAACCCTCTTCATGCCCCACCCATGACTACACCCAAGCGTTCGTAGCAGCGGCAAAGCAATTTGGCGACCGACTGTTTGAATTCTCCCCTTGGAGTTCCCGGGAAATCGTGGTTCTCGCGTATTGGTTTACAAGCGTCTTTGGAACCTATAGAGCAGCGGTGGTGCACGATGTATCATCAGGACTTACTACTCGCAACACAGTAAAGAACCGATTCAGCATGCAGGACGGTGAGCTCAGTAACGTGTTGTTCAAGGTAGCCCGAGAAACCTCTTAGGCCGGTTCCAAACTCATTCGATCGCACCACCACGCACGCGCCTCAGCGCGGACTTACGACTCACAGGACTGTGATCTCACACTCAGATGCGGCACAAGGGCGAACAATCAAACGCGTTCCCCAAAATGTCTCCGATTAGGTACCCAAGCAGAATGGTCAACAGCTATGCTTACGTTACGTGTCGACTTAAGGGTGCTCGTCGAAGAGCAAAGACAAGTGCATTAAACCTTACCTGGCTCACTTCGAACCTCCAGCGCTTCCTGAAATGGTGGCTAACTATGTAAGGTATCGCTATGGAGGGGTGTGAGTGCCATCAAATCAGCAATGACTTGGACAAATATTATCGCCGAAATCGTCACAGCAGGGCGTGGGCAATGTGGTGGTGGTTCAGATGGTGATCAAAGTCCTAGAACAGCGTTTACAGTTGGTGGAGACAGCTCATCGGAAGGCTCTGCTGGCTGAGTTGACACATGCAGACATTCCACATCCTCAACCAGTCTCCCGACAAATTCCCTCAGTTTCTTATTGACCACGAGCTATAACGTGTCGCGTCACAATTAGTGACTCAATCCGAATTGTCACTGGAAGCCACCATTCGGATATGGCGGCGCCAAACAGCTGGTTCTCCGAGCCCCAACGAGGCTCTCTTGTCAGAACATTTTTCGTGGCTGGTGCACGGATACGAGCACGTCGATCAGACCATTGCTGCTTCAACACGCGGTGTTCAGCATTCATTCAATCCAGAATATGAATCACTTCGTCAAAGCAGACCTGTCTGGAACCACAAGCCAGCATATTGATTGAGGAACGCGCTAATCCGAAGTATTCGTGACGGCCAGAGTAAAGGTACTTACTTGGTGGTTAGCAGAGCTGCGGCTTCAAGATGGAATTTACATTACAGTCCGTTTGGGTGCGTGGAAAAAAGCTGACGCAGATCCGATGGTCGAGGCCAGAACAATTAACGACCTCTCATTTCCTCTCGGTACATCGACAAACTCATGGTCGGATCAAGATACTATTGCTGAACTGGTGTACGAATTTGATGGAGCAATTGCGCGAAGAATTATTTGACTTCGGACTACCAACCCTTTATCCACAGTCAAACTGATGAAAGGTGACGTAAATCTGCATTTCGGAATTTACACGTACACGAAAGCGTCAGTCCGTTTTTCTCTGGCTCAATTCCTGACGACGATATTGTGGTGATCGATTTGGCTCTTCCGTTTGGGCGGACAGGTTCACCGGCTCATTACGGGATATTTGGTCGGGCTATTTCGTTTCTCGTTCGTCGAGAGATCCCTCACAGCATGAACCCCTGTGATCCTGACTCAACGCCATTCTTCTGTTTTGACTGGGTAGATGACCACGTTCTCGCCGAATTGGACGTTGGAAACCGGCTGGAAACATGTGAGTGCGCGCTTCGGCTGGCAATGCCTGCGGTTCTTGGACCTCGGGACATCAACGAAAACAAATTCACAGCGTGGTCTACGCAATTGGTGGCACTAGGGTTAGAATGGGACTCGTCAGCGATGACAGTGTCAATGCCTTATTTAAAGATCCAGAAGGCTCTCAATCTCGTCTCCAGTATCCTACGCGCAAGAAGAACCACCCGGCATGAACTTTCCCGTCTTTTGGGCAGCTTACGACATGTTTGCTCATGCATCCGACCCGCAAAGCCATTCTTTCAACGGTTGGTTGCGTTGTGGCGACGATCTCCACGAGAACGAGCCATCACCCTTACTCGCGACGCCGAACTACACCTTTGTGCACTCAACTTCGTAGTAAACAGAATTCAAACTCGTAACTTAAAATTTGGCAAACAGGAAAATTACGATAGGAGCACATAATCAGTATTCAAAGTTGAAATACCTGCAATCAACCTCGTGCAAGATTTGCCCCGCGGATTCGCGCCAAAATGACAGGCTCTGCTTGACTCGCGCCAAAGCCCGAGGTTTGTACAACCCTCTCTGATGGTATGGAGGTTTGGTTCATTTGCTAACTTACTATTTGACGCCAAGATGCCTTCCCGAATCACGCCCCACACCCTTATCGAGAAGCAACGAGTCCTTGAAGCCCATCGCGCTGGTCGAGAAGACTGGCTAGCGGTTGCCCGTTTCAATGGTATTCCTGTGTCTACTGCCTACGACATAGTGCGGCGGGGACGAGTGCACAACCTTCGTCGGGGAGGCGCGAAGCATGTGAAGATGACGCCTGAAGCCAAGGTCCTCCTGGAGGAGTACTTAAATGAAAACTGTACCTACACTTTGGACACCATGAGGACAATGCTGTTTCTGGATTGTGGAGTTAAGGTGGACACGTCGACGATTAGCCGACACCTGAAGGGCATGCTGTTTACCGTAAAACAAGTGAGAGTCGAGCCAACAACGTGTAATAGCGACATTAATATCGAGAAGCGACGTGTGTTCGCAGTGAAATTAAAGGAGCATCAAGACGCAGGTAATTGCATCGTTTACTATGATGAAACTAACTACAACATCTATCTGAAGCGCTTGCGAGGGCGATCTAGGAAAGGAGAGAGGGCCGTGCTCAGCCTTCCACCCTCCAAAGGTGCTAATCTCCAGATCCAATGTGCTGTTTCGTCAAGCATTGGGCTGGTGACGTACCAATTGGAACATGGCAGCATTCGTATGGAGAAGAATGCTGCCTTCGTTGAGGAGATTTACAAGGCGGTCAAGGCGTCGCAAGAGTTCCGCGACTTCTTTCAGGGCAAAAAGGTTGTCATCGTTCTTGATAACGCTCCTGCCCACCGACAGACAGAGGATCGAGTTACCGAGCACGAAGACATGGAACTGTTACGGCTAGGGCCGTACTCCCCCATGTGCAATCCGATCGAGGGCTGTTTCAGTGTGTTAAGGCAAACATTAAGAGACACTTAGCAATCTACCGCGAGCAAATTTGCGATCGCAGCCGTCAACTGGACAACAACGGAGACGTGATGACGCTAGCTGGAAGACAGATGCGCGTTCTGGAGAGGGCTGCTAAGGCGGAAATGAAGTGCATGACATCGGTCCTGGTGTCTCGTATGGAGCTTCACTGTAGCAAGGCTGTCAACGCTGCTGCTGAAGGAATAGCTATGGTCTACGGTAAATAGTCAACGAGGTCGATTGCAGTTTTTTCAACATTGAATACTGATTATGCGCTCCTATCGTAATTTTCCTGTTTGCCAAATTTTAAGTTACGAGTTTGAATTCTGTTTACTACGAAGTTGAGTGCACAAAGCTGTAGACCTCTGGTGGTTTGAACACATTCTTCGTTTTGGTTGCCTTCGGGGTGTTCCTCTCGATTTTTTCTCCGACTTACCAGATCCGGATGTACATCTCTACATGAATGCTAGCAACATCGGCCTGTGCGTGTTACATGCGGCCCGGCGTGAATTTCTTCGTATTCAGTTCAACGACGAGGAAAAAAGAGTTGATTCAACAAGCCAAGCTCAGCATCAACGTTAGAGAGCAATTTAGTGCAGTACTCGCTGTACTGTGCTGGGGAGAGCAATGGACTTCACAGTCTCGAGCATCTCTCACACACGTGCGTTTCTGGATCGACAATTCTTCAGCAGTGGCTTGGATCAACAAACTGAGCAGCCATAATCTGCAGTCGCAAGAAATGAACAGAATTGTCGGAGCTGTGGAAGCACGTTCCGGTACCGGACAGCGTGAGGAAGGGTTACGACGGCAGCTGGTCGCCCTTCACCACCATTCCCTTGCAGAAAACTCTCGACGACAATACGAGTCAACGTGGAGACAATGGGAGCTATTCAGCCAACAACTCGGACGGTCCATGTCAAGTGGTATCACCGTGTATTTGCCGGATTTGAACCAATTGTCACCGCAGGACACGCAACAGCACTCGCCGGAATGCGGAAGATTAGCCCCACCCCACAACCAGGAGCTCCAGTGTCACCAGCCATGCTCGACTGGATTGCCAATCACATCGACCACCAAAAGCCCCAACACCGCCTCATGTTTGGGGCTGCGCTGCTGGGTTTCTTCTATCTCTTAAGAAGCGGTGAGTACTTAGGGGTAAAAGGAGGTAGACACCGCTACGCCCTCGAAGTCCGCGATGTGGAGGTTTTCGACGCCATGAACCGACCCGCCGTGAGGTTCTGTGACGCGACAAGTGCGGTGATAACTCTCCGCTGAAGCAAGACCCACCAGCAGGGCCTCGGTACATCCCGTCGTCTATGGCGTTCAGGCCACAAGCGTATTTGCCCAGTCCTTGGCGCAGCAATCCTACTGGAGCTTGCAGCCCAACATCATCTTCAACCTTCAGATCCGATATGTTCATTCAACAGGACACGTATTCATAAGGCAGAGGAACTCTCCAAAGTCCTCAAGGAAGCGGCAGCAGCCAATGGATACGACCCTCAGCAGTTCTCTTGCCACTCACTTCGCAGCGGAGGCGCATCTGCACTTATCGGTGGAGGTGCAGACTCGACGACGATCAAACTACACGGGCGGTGGAAGTCCAACTCATTCCAGCGCTACACTCACTACTCAGACGATGTGGGGGCGCCTTTGGCGGTTCGCGTCACATACTGACGCGCCGACGCGTGGTCTCGATGTAATCCCGAAAATGCAGTTACTTTAGTTCCCATATCTCTCTTCCCATCCACATCATGCAGAACGGAAGAAAAATGTCTGCGTGGCTACAATACGTAAAAATTGTCGGGCATATGCGATAATATGCTGCTACAACATGATTTTCTTTTTGTCAGTCTCCACGGCTACTATGTCATCCAGTTTTTTTTTTATCTACAAAAAGTATTGTGGTGCCTGGCAAAATCCAAAATACACTGCGAAAATAAAATACACTGCGAAAATAAAATACATGATTTCTCTTAAAGTCATCAATAGAGCCCCGCAAAGCAGAACTCTGTTTGGCTGACCACTCATAATATCTGTTACTGCTATTCTTGTAGACCGTTTTTCTGAATTCAGTCATCTTGATTAACACATTTTACAATGAACCTTCCCAAAATCATGTACAACACCCGTTATGCAACTTCTACCTAGTCGAGTAATCACGCGGGGAGGGGGTGATTCAAACCAGCTTGTTCACCCGAGAATATACTTGAAGGTTAAAACCTGCGTTATCTGCAAGCAAAAAAATAAAAAAAAGGGG